ACAATTTCTTTTAGAAAAGTTATGATCTTCATTTTGTTCATCTATAATTCTGGAAACATTGTCATTTTTATGAGGTGTATTCAAACTAATCGTTTTATTGTGTGCAGGAGCTCTTCATACTTTTATTTGAGGCATCCTTTTGTAGGAGGATTTCTCCGTCTTTCTGTCGTTCATTATCATGTCGTTTAATCATTTACCCTTTGTGATGCTTCCGGCACAAACAGCTCCCTCTTTGCTTTGCTGCAGGCAGTTCATCTCTTCACCTCTAATTATGGCTGCATGAAATATCAAATCTAGTTATTATTATTGAATTGGACCACAGACTATCTCTGAGCACAGTGGTTAGGCTTAGTCTTCAACTTCCAAGTATCACTTCCAATGGATATATAGTGGACAAAGTGTTTTCCTCCATGTTTTGTCGGGTATACTCTTTCTCTTAATTCCATCACTTCTTCATAATTATTCAACCCCACCACTTCATTTAAACATTCATCATTTACACTTTTGACTTGGGTTCCTGGTGAGCCATCGTAGAAGTTCTTCTTGTGGTATCTTCGTTTTAATATGAGAATAGTATATAAGTCGCATAAAAGAACTAAGGCTATGAATTTCATCGTATGAATGGAAGCACCAAACAATGTACGTCACAAAATTTGGATTAATTGTGTCATGTACCTAAGTTATATAGGTAACAATCAGGCATCTGATCATACGTAATTACATTCTTAAGTTAAAAGCTATATTTTCACACTTGAAACCATCAAATATTTTAATGAGAATGTCATGAAAATGCCCAAAAACTACATTTTTTCAGGTTTGATGGAAAATTGAACTAAACTCGTCTCGTTGCATGCCTTACAACTTCTCATATATATGTACTCTCGTTTTAATCTCTAGCAATTAAAATTTAAAATAATTGCAGAAGTAGTAAAATGATACACATTATGATATTTCAGAATTGCATTTCTACTAATGTATCATGGTTAGAAATAACTTATACAAGATAAAGATAAATGATTAAATGAACTTTGTAGGTACAGGTCAATTTTCAGCTCTTTCTTTCTGAATTTGATTTCCAAAAACTTGATTCCGATTTTGAATTAAATGACTTTAGTTAGAGTTGAAAACTTTCAGATTATTTTAATTGATTGCACTTATGTTATATGTGAGTTTCCTTGTAGACATGGTCTTATCACAGTGAAAATAAATAGGTGACATTTCAAACGTGAAGACGAATAAAGCATCACAACTAATACGGATCGTACCCTATATGGATACATTCTCGTGATCGTTCTTACTATAAACAATTATGCTGGCATGTGATTTTAGGATAGTTTGGAGATGTAAAGTAATGTAAAGGAGATATTGAAAACTTGACATTTAATTTACAAAATATATTCTTAACTTGTGTAAGCGTTAAACTTTCACGATTCATTTCAAAATTTGATTTTGTTTGTATCCATTTCAGTAAGCATTCATTCGTTTATTTCCTCTCTCAAGTTGTGAAAATTACACAGTGATTGACCTTTTGTACTTACACCATGGCCATTTGAAATCTTTCCCATCATGCGTGCCCCAGCCAGTGTGCCAGAATTGGGGAGGTTTTCCCCTTCAAAGAAGAAAATATATAGTTTTTGCGTAAATGTGAAAAAATAATTTGGGTAATTTTTTTAGGGAAAATTTGCAGTGAACTAAAAATAAATTTTCGCTTTTGATCCTTCTGATAAATGAAGATGCAAATAGTTCAGTTTATTTAAAAAAATGTTATCGTAAAAATTATGTTATTTTTACATTTTGGTTAAATTTTGTTACAAATTCTAAATATCATGCATTATTAAGAGTAAGAGCTTTCAACTTAATTTTTGTCGTGTGATTATGAATATACAAGGAAATACGTTTAACCTACGGAACTTCTCCACCAAGGGGATCATACCTACATTGTAAAAAAATAATTCTTTACCCCCTATTCTCATAAAATTTTACTTCAATCATATTTTTATGAATAATTGCAAAATACTCGTTACGATGGCTGGTATAATCTAGGCCATCTGCTGAGCATCCCTCGATGTCTCTTCGTGAAAGGCCGCTGCGCAACAACACAAGTGCTCTGGTAAGAGCAGGTACACTGCTGTGTGACACCTGATCCCAACCCCAAAGAGTTTTAAAACTTGGCGTTTTTACCGTTATACATACTAATAAAATTAATGTTGTCCCCTGAAGGTAAAACACTGAACGGACTTTGCTAGTTGATCTCGAAAAATCAGTAAATCTCTTATAAAACTGTAGCTCACAATATCCCGAATGACTGTGGTGAAGATTTATGCGGGTGAAACTGTGTATCGAAAACAATTTGAATCTTGGAGACTAGGAAGAAAGAAATAGATATAAACAGAAAATCATCATTTGACACATGGAGAATTTGACTTTCTGCAACGTCGCCCTGGCAGTGGGGGGAGGAATTCCTCAAACCTTTTGGGAAGTGCCTCCCAATCCTCGTAGCAACACTGGCTGGCTGTGGCTTTAGGGGGCTCATGTCGTGAGATAGGTGTGGTGAGGATAGGTGGTGAGTTTGTGTGGTGGGTTTGGTGTTGGTGAGGTTTGGTGTTGGTGAGGTTCACCAAACCTCACCTCACCAAACCAAACCTCACCTCACCAAACCAAACCTCACCTCACCTCACCAAACCAAACCTCACCTCACCTCACCTCACCAAACCTCACCACACCAAACCTCACCACACCAAATCTCACCACACCAAATCTCACCACACCAAATCTCACCACACCAAACCTCACCACACCAAACCTCACCACACCAAACCTCACCACACCAAACCTCACCACACCTCACCTCACCTATCCTCACGACATGAAGCCCCCTAAAGGCCACAGCCAGCCAGTGTTGCTACGAGGATTGGGAGGCACTTCCCCAAAAGGTTGGAGAGAATTCCTCCCCCCACTGCCAGGGACGTTGCAG